CCCCACTGCCTGTGCTGATGGCTGTCGTCCCTACTGGAGATAGAGGCAAGATTTACTCCTCTGAGTCTGCAGCTCATATTTCTTCTCCTGCTCAAAGGCTTCCATGCTGCTGCCTTAAGTTTTTCAGCTTCCCAGGAGGATTCAGATTTCAGAACTCCCTGCTCCTCTTGATGGAAGAGATCACAGAATCATCTGTCTCTCTTTAGGACGGTTTTGTGATGCATCTCATTAGGAGAATCATCATGTTCTTCCAGCAGACCCATATGCCTCATCTGAAACAACCAAGAAGGCTCTCTCTCTTAGGCTGAATGGCTGCAGCTTTGGATTTATCTTCTGTTTCTCAAATACGTTTACCTGATGCAGATGATTAGCAGACACTCCTTGTAGGCTGAGGTGCAGAACGTTGATCTGGCTGCCTGGCTGAAAGTTCCTCTTCTCAATCAAGGCCCGTGAGTCTGGTCCATAGGAAAAGAAAAGAAAAAAATAAAGGCTTTTTTTGACGTATAGACCATAGGCAATGAGTTGGGTGCTGTCAACACGTTGCACGGTTGGTTGGCAGAGGCAGAGGGCGTCGGAGATGTGTTTATCTCAGATCAGCTGTGCAGCTCACGCACAGGAGGTCTGTCTGTTGCTTGCAGGCAGTGTTTGGTCTACGGTGTAGACATACAGTGCCTGACCCCAACGACACCTCCTGGAAGCAGCAGACTATCTGCATCTGTGCCGTGTCACGGCAGCACACGTTGCTGGGAACGCGTTGGGAGTTCCTGCTCATATGGCAGTCCAGATGGAAGCACCGTATGCGAGCGGTAGGAGCCACCCAGTAGGACTGCCAGACTTCTGGGAATCTAGAACAAATATAGAACATGCTTCAAAGCTCCTGGCCGAGTGAAGGTAGGCAACTCTGCAAAAAGTCCTGACGCCCATTCGTGTTGCGGTGCTGTAAGTTGTGCCAATGGAAAAAGAAGACATTTGGTTCCCCGTTATCTGAGAGAGGCAGAAAGCCACCAACACTGGAAAGCCTCTGTTTGGAGATGTTCTGCAGAAAGCGGTGTAGAAATAGCTGACGTTGCAAAGTTGGGCAGGGTGTGAGTGCTGCTCAGAGTCTGAGGAGAGTTAAGTGCTACAGCACCAAATTGCTGCCTGCAACCAACCGAACCAATGGGCTGCTTTCACGGAATCACAGAATGGCTTGGATTGGAAGGGACCCAAGGATCATGAAGCTCCAAACCCCTATCACAGGCAGAGCCACCAACCTCCACATTTAATACCAGCCCAGGCTGCCCAGGGCCCCATCCAACCTGGCCTTGAACACCTCCAGGGATGGACGGGGCATCCACAGCCTCTCTGGGCAGCTGTTCCAGCACCTTACCACTCTCACAGCAAACAACTTCCCCCTGACATCCAACTTCAATCTGCCCTCATTCAGCTTCAAACCATTTCCCCTTGTCCTGCTATTATCTCCCCTTTCCAAGAGCTGACTCCCCTTTCTGCAGAAGGTCCATTCCCTTCTTGCCCAGCAGCATTGCTGATAATCATTTCATTCTCACCCCATCTTACCCCATAGCAGCCACCGTTGCACCTCCACCTGCTCCCTGCCTGCTCTGCTCCTGCCTTCTCTTTGTGTTTGCACCCAACGTTTGTCAGCACGCGTTTTGCACGCCCAGGATGGTAACAGCAAGGTTCTGAACTTCTCCAACTGTTGCAGCTCGCAGCCGAGGAATACCTCTAAGAAGGTGGAGTGCTTCAATGCAGAGCGTAAAATATACAGAGATCTGTTTGATTCAGAAAGGATTTTTTGCTGTTTTTAACTCAAGAGGTTCCAGCCAGGGGAGAGTGTACTTTTCCAGCTACAAAAATGCACAAAAATACCAGCATTTCATAGTTGCACATTCTGGTCTTTACTTATTGTTACCGTAAAGCTAAACTCTTTCTAATCAAATTCGTCTTCCCCCCCCCTTTTTTTCCCTACTTTTCTTCCCCTTTTTTTTCTTCCCTATCAGTTTTTATGTCACCTGGGGTCTTTCCTCAAGCCAGAAGCATTTGACTGGGACTGACTCAGGGTTACTGGTTTTTTGCTGCTCCTCTGTCTGCCAGCCCACCCCTTCCCTTCTGTTTGGGAGCTTTGCAGTGTGATACCCCCAATGGTGACTGTGTCAGTTTCAAGTGCTGCAGGACCTGTGCATTCCTCAGCAGAGGGAAATGCAGCTTTGTTGTGGACGTTTTCTGACACTGAAGAGCAAATAAGGTTAACCCACCTTGGGTCTCCCAGCGCTCATACTTGTATGTGCACCCAAAGTGCATATATCCACCGTTGTGTCATCACTGCACGAGGGGAGAGGCTTCATTTTTTTAAATTATTTTTTTGAATGTCAGAATAGCTGCTCTTTTGATAGGACAAGGGGGAATGGTTTTAAAGTGAGACAGGGGAGGTTTAGGCTGGATATGAGGAGGATGTTTTTCATCCAGAGGGTGGTGAGGCACTGGAACAGGTTGCCCAAGGAGGCTGTGGATGCCCCATCCCTGGAGGCACTCAAGGCCAGGCTGGATGTGGCTCTGGGCAGCCTGGGCTGCTGGTTGGCGACCTGCACACAGCAGGGGGTTGGAACTGATGATCATCATGGTCCTTTGCAACCCAGGCCATTGTATGATTCTATGATTTGCACTTCCCATGAAAAATACCTATTGCAGGTTGGAGCCCTCTGAGGTCCTGGCCATGGGGCAACCTGCTGCAGGTGGGTGTGGGTAACCTGGAGCTCTGGGCTGTAAGGGGCAGCCCGGTGACGCCCTGCAGCACTGCTGTGGATGGGTATGAGATTGATAGAGGAAACTGTCCTTGATCCTTAGGAAACACAATCAAACAGGTTGCCCAGAGAGGTCGTGCTGCCCATCCCTGCAGATACCCACGCTCAGGGGATGGGGATCTGAGCACTGGTGAAGCTGTGGGTGTCCCTCCTCACTGCAGGGAGTGGGACCAGATGGCCTTTAGAGGGCCCTTCCAACCCAAACCATTCTGTGATTGTATGATAAACAGATTTCCCATCTCTGTGCCCTCAGAAAAGCCTCAGGACCCGGAGCTGTGCCCAGCAGTGTCCTGCACTGTCTGTTGGAGGCAATCGTTTCAGCGCTGGGATCCATCGTGCTGCAAAGCCCCAGCTGAGGCAACAATGCATGAAGGGAAATCCTTTCATCTTCCTTGCATTTCCCAGTTGGGTTGTGAAATGCAAACAGCTCCTCTCCCTTCACAGGGATTGATGTGAGGTGATATTGATAGCAGACGTCTCCTTCAGCGCGTTGCTTCTCGCCTTTCCTGGAAGCTGCAGCGTTTCCAAGGCTGTCGCCTGCATGGGACGTGTTATTTGTTTGAACAACTTTGAAGCTGAAATGCTTTTTCCAAATTCTCCTTTCCAGCCTTTTGTCAGTCTGGGTGTTCAGCTGTCAGATCTCCCCACGTTTAGGTGATTTGTCCTTCTTTACAAAAGCTTTTGTTGCCTCTTTATAGAATGTGACCTTTGGGACAGCAAGCCTTGTGTGCATATGTGTACAGAGAGGGGGATGCAGTTGGACACAGGCTGGAGGGAAAGCAGGTTTGGGCTCACTTCTCCAATACTGTGAGCTCGTTCTGAGGTTGCACATGGAAAGTCTCCTTCCTCCTGGCCATCGCTGATCTTGCACAGTTCTGGCTGAGGAGTTGGAGCGTGAATTCCAGGCCTCGGGAAATAAATAAATCACATAAACATTGTTGAGCTGAGGATAGTAAGACTATTTCTGCTGATAAAGGATCATAGTAGAGAGGTGTGCGTGCTGTACTGAGTCACCGAGTTAAAAATATCCCTTCGTCACAAGTTAGTGGTAAAATGCAAACGAACCTCGTGTTTCCAAAAGCTGTTCCTGTAGGAGGGCTGAGCAGCTGGAGCTGCGCCCGGCTCCATCGGTGTCTGCGGGGTTTGGCATCCTGTAGAACCATGGCCTGGGTTGCAAAGGACCACAGTTTTCATCTGGTTACAACCCCTTGCTATGTGCAGGGTTGCCAACCAGCAGACCAGTAGATCTTCCCAGTCGCCAACAAGCAGACCAGTAGATCTTCCCAGTCGCCAACAAGCAGACCAGTAGATCTTCCCAGTTTGTATAAACACCTGGGATTGCTTTGATACAATGCAGCACCCTGCACTCAGCCTTATTGAACCTCATTAGGTTTTCATGGCCCCACTTCTCCAGCCTGTCCAGGTGCCTCTGGATGGCTTCCCTTCCCTCCAATCTATTGACCAATTCCTGATGGGGTGGTTGGTCTCAAACATCCACCTGAGGCTCACACAGGGGTGTGGGGATGGTCCTGGCAGGGCACGGTCCATGCAATGCAGAACCCAAGCAGTGCAGAGTGGTTCTTTGAGCTTAATGTTCTGAGGAGCAGCGATGGATTTTTGTGTTCTCCTTCCCACCTCACTTTGGTTCTTCCATGTTTTCAGAACCAGGTCTGAAAACATTCTTTTGAAAAATTGTTCTGACTTTTGTGGTTTCAGGTTGGAGCTTGGGAACAATCTGTGCTCCAAAGAGAGTCAGCACTGCACAGCTGCCCAGGGCAGTGCGGAGTCCCCATCCCTGGGGGTGTTCAGTGGGCAGTGGGTGGGATGGGCTGGGGTTGGATTGGGGGTGTCAGAGCTCTTTTGTGCTCTGAATGATTCTGTCATCTTATCATTGCCTACAAGTCATTCCTGGCTGGTGTCGGGCATACAACACCAAGCTGTGAGGAGATGGGAATGGTGATCTGTGAGCTCTTCGCCGCTCTTTTGGTGCACAACCATCGGCAGACGCTCTGCCTGCAATGCTGGGAGTTTTTTCACCTTGGGGTTACTGACTGGGCGAGCTGAGGCAGAACAATTGTTGGCTTTGCATCCCCCACGGAAAGCAGCTGTTGTCAGTCCATATGGTGCAGTCTGTGCAAGCGAGCACGGGATCAGTGCTGTTCGGAGCCGCTCAACTCTCTTCCTTCCCTCTCATTTCAGGTGGCCATAATTGCAGGAAATTTTGAGTTGGCTGAAATCATCAAAACCCACAAAGAGTCCGATGTTGGTGAGTTGGATCTTTTTTTTTTTTTTCTTATCCTCTTTTCTCCCTTTTTAAATCTTCCTGTGGAGCGCAGGGCTGTTGTCAGGCGGGTGTGTGACCTGGTGCTTTCGTGGTGCTGCTCACAGTGGCTGGCACAGCCTGCAGCCTGCTCTGGGTCTCTGGAGCAGCAGGATGGATCTGCTTTCCTTCAGTGTTCAGCTCATTTGTCCAACGCAGTGTTTGCTTATGGCTGTTGACATTGGCAAAGTTAAGAACGAGCCAAACCGTTAGTCTGGAGTGGGTCTGAAAAGTGAAACCCTTTACCTTTTGTCTTTGTGTATTTTGGGGGCTTTTCCATACTGGAGCTCCTCTCCCGCAAAAGCTGTCAGGCAGACCTGGGGCAGGGAGACGTGCCTTCTTGCAGCAGGGATGATGGTTATGGAGCTGCCCCACCACAGAGCTTCTATAAGTGAAGTAGCACCCGTTGCTTCTTTCAGTTTGGGATTTCCTGCACCACCTTTTCCTTCGCAGCATCTCTTCTCTCCTTTTGTGGTGTAGACGTTATCATGCAATCATGCAAAGCCAACCTTTAGGTCAGGTGTAACAGCAGCTGGGAGCAAAGAAGGAGGGATGTTTGAAGGGATGTCATTTGTCTTCCCAAGCAGCTGCTGTGCATGGAGAGCACAGCTCTCAGGCAGTGGCTGGACATGTGCTGCCAATGCACAGCATTGAGTGAATTCCCTATTTTGCTTTGCTTGAACACGCAGCTTTTGCTTTACCTCTTGAATAATCTTTATCTCAGTCTGTCAGTTTTCTCACTTCTTACCTTTCTGATTCTCTCCCCAATCCTGCCTGGGGAGAGGGGGTGAGCAGCTGTGTGGTGCTGAGCTGCCTACCAGGGTTAACCCACAACAGGTTACAGGTGGAGTACGACTTGTGGAGACTGGAACAGTCTCCAGGTATTGGGTTGGTTCTTGGAAGAATCCCTGAGTCTGGGAACCTGCACTCCAGCTCGTCCTATTATCACTTATTTTCTCAGGCAGCTCTCACTAACAGCTGAATCATAGAACCATAGAATGGCCTGGGTTGCAAAGGACCACGATGCTCACCTGGTTCCAACCCCCTGCTATGTGCAGGGTCACCAACCAGCAGCCCAGGCTGCCCAGAGCCACATCCAGCCTGGCCTTGGATGCCTGCAGGGATGGGGCATCCACAGCCTCCTTGGGCAACCTCTGAGTGAGCTGCTGAGGACCTTTGAAAAGAGTCAGAAAGGATTTGGGGAAAAGGCTGAGGCTTATCAGGAAGTGTTAACAGTGCTAATGAGAAGGCTGTCCTATTAATCCAAGGGGAGAGAGACTGCAGTGGAAGGGGTATGGGGGTAGATGTCCTCCAAAGGTCTCTTCAGCCTCAATTGATTGGATTGATGTCTAACGGAATGGCACAATTTTATTGAAGGAGTTTAAGGAAAAGGGCATGAAACCGTGTCAAGTAAAAGTGAATTGTCTGTGCTTTAGATAGGTCTGTTTGTACAAAATGGGTCAGATAACAGTTGCAAGCTGATCGCACACAAACCAGCAGGTCCAGATGGCATCCACCAGGGGTCAATGGAACTGGCAGATGAACATCCAGGCAAGGAGAAATTGCTTTCTGAAGTTCATTAAGAACTGAGAAGTGCAAATGTCTGGCTGGAGGAGCACAGGTTATTTGGGAGCATTATGCTGGAGGGGGGAAAGGGGTCAGCGTTAGGTGTGGGGGCTCTGAAGCACCTCCTGCAGGGCTGTTTGTTTGCCCCATTGGCATTCAGGTCTTAAATCTGCTTCAGTCGGAGCCTGTCAGTCATGTGCATAACTTGGTATAATCAGACATGCTCCTCATCACCTGTTCTTCACAACAATGTTTGCGGTGGCATTAATTGCACCTCGTTTTGTAACAGCTGGATCTCGTGGCAGCTGCTCAGTAATTTTCACCATCCCTCTTTCTGGGAAGTTCTCTTAGTCTGCAAGTTTTCAAGTGTTTGTTTCAGCTAATGAGTGGCTTTGTCATCGTGATGGGATACAAATGCCTCTCCCTGCTCCTTTTGGGGTATAGTTCTGCGTCTACAAAACAACCCAAAGGCCATTAGAACTTTCCTTCCTTCCATACGCCACTGGGTTTTTGTTGACGTTTTGGCTCCCCTTATCCATTTTGAATGCATTGTAACTCCGTATTGATTTCAATTATTTTTCATAATTAGAGGATAAATATATCCAACAATGCCAATTGATGTCTTCAGTTTGCTGCTTTTGTCCAACTAAGTACTTAACCGTAGCTGCTTTATTTCACAATTGTGGTTCTGTGACTGCTGTTCCTTTTTTTAACTCGTGATTTTATTCATATTTACTCTTCCTACATGGCAGGAGATCCGGGGGAAACAATACAACATGAGTTCAGTACTGAGAAATTGGTCTTGAGCATTACACGTACATAAGAGTGGTTGGGACCATCTTCCCTCTTTTAATGCCAAGTAGAATCGGGTCATGATCCACGGTCACTAAGCAACCAACTTCAAGTCCAAGGAATTAGTTCATCATCAGTCATAATGAGGCCCAAAGCAGTCGCCCTGTATTACATAAAATACCTTTTTTTGTTGGGGAATTCCAATCTGTATGAGATCACCATCACAGCAGTGGTTTTCCTTAGAGGTAGTGGTAGGGGTGGGGAAGTTCCTCACCCCCTCTGGTCCGGTTCGGCAGCTCTGCTGACCCACAGCAGTCTGTTCTTTTGGGATGCATCCACCTCTTGGCTCACATCCGCTGGAAATCCTGCAGCCCTGGCGGCTCTGTATGGGAGTATTGGTGGCACAGAGCCTTCCTCTCTCCTATTACCTTGGAACAGATATTTTTTTCAAGGTGTTTAGGAAGGTGAAGACCTAAATTGGGTCAGAAAGTGACAGGGGCACCTAACTCCTCATTGTGTCCTTCCCATGTGGAAATGATGAGCGGTGCATATCCCAGAGCACGTGTGTGTGAGCGGACAGCAGGGCATTAATTTAGACCATGACACTTTTGAAAGATTCCATGAGTCTTCAAGCACTGAATTGTCCATTGTTGTGAAAAAATACCCAGTTTTGTGGCAATGTATAATGCAAACCAAATCACAGAGTCACAGCATGGTTGGGTTGGAAGAGACCCCCAGCCCCACCTCTGCCATGGGTTGGGTGCCCCCACCAACTCAAGCCAATCCGTGGGCTGGGGCACCTCCAGGGATGGGGCACCCACAGCTCTGGGCATGACTACCACCAGGCTCTGAGAACATGCAGAACGGCATGCAGCAACTCAGATAAACGTACGAGACAAGCAGAAGTAGAGGCTATGACATACATTTCTTCCTTTCCAACTTCTTCCCTTGATTCCTTCTCAAAGGAGTCTTTGGTAGATGTTGAAAAACTTTGCGTCGAAGCCATACCTAAGTACTCATACAATCAAAAGCTTCATTACTTTTTGCCTGATTGCGTCAAATTTCCCAGAATGTGTAACAAATGTGGAAGTTTTTGCTGAGCCTATTCTACCACCCGTGCTTTTTGTGCCAGTGACCTGTGTGTGTGTATGTGTGTAGGTCATTGCTAAAGATAAAAAGCATTTATATGACTGTGTCAAGAACCAGCTTGCTGAATGATATTGGAAATAGTTCCCACTCCATTCATACTTCTATTTGGTCAGACTCTGGAACCAGGGAGGTGGGGGAGTCGCCGTCCCTGTTAAGTGTTCCATAAGTGTGCAGATGACATGGTTTAGTGGGGAAATATTGGTGGTAGATGGACAGCTGGACTGGATGATCTTAGAGGTCTTTTCCAACCTTGGTGATTCTGTGATTCTATCTATATGGGTAATTGGAAGCCAGCAATGAAGAGATAAGTTAGAGCATAGTAAGTTTTATGTGACCTTCTTTCTTGTGCCATCTACAAAGACCTTTTTCCTCACTGTTGTCAGTCAGAATACTGAGATACACGAAGCCTTGGTCTCACCAGCCCTTCAGTTCCTAAGGAAAGAGTTCTCTGTTAAAATAAATAAAATGTGGTTGACTGTGATGGGGCAGCTCCTGGGTCCTATTGGAAGGTGATCATCTTCAGGTGAATGAGGTGATGTTCAAAGCTGCCTTCCAATCCAACCCAACCCAACCCAAAAGGTTCTATGAATTACAGTAAAACAGAGCTGAGATCTGTGCTCTTCTTGCCACATCACATTCAGTGCTCTGAACTGGAGATGTCACACAGCAGAAGTCTTGGTATGGTCCTGAGAGCACAGGTACTCTGCAGAAAGTCACTCGAAGCCAGGAAAATTGAGCTGAGTTGTGTTGGCTGTCAGTGCTTGTTTTTCGGACGTTGTGTTGAGGGATATGGCTTAGTGAGAACTATTGGTGATAGGTGGATGGTTGGATGATCTTGAAGGTCTTTTTCAAACTTGGTGATCCTGTGATTCTGTTTGGAAATGGCATGAAAAACTAACCTGGTGACCTGGGTGTGCATTCATTGTTGGGCACGGCGCTGGGAGGAGCAGCACCTCTCGTGGTGGATTCCCCTCACTGGGGAGGAGCACTGCCTGCTGCACCGCATGGTGGGGCTCTGATGTCCTCTCCTTGCTGGGGGATGTGGTGGGAGTGTTGAACCTCTGTTCTCACCTGGGTGTGTGTTCTGCACTCACCATGGCATCCCCTGCACTCTTTGCCAGTGATATTTGTGTGTGTGTGTGTAGGACATTGGTAAAGATTAAAAGCATTTATAAACTGTACCAAGAGCTAACTGTCCTCTGGCACTTTGGAAGGAATCATAGAATCATAGAATGGGCTGGGTTGA